CCCCAAAACCCCAAAACCCCAAAACCCCAAAACCCCATGCACAAAGATTAAAATAGAAATTAATAAAATGGAAGAGCAACCTGGCAATTTCTGACAGATGAGTTCGGATCAACAGCAAGCTAGAGATGAAGAATTCTTTCTGACTCAACAAGAGAAACTATTTAGACACAATGTGATTGAATCCTTATCGGATGGTAAAAAATATGTACCTATTTATTTTGAGAAATTTAATATTACTGTGTATTTTACTGGTAAGAATGGCCTTGGCTTAATATACTCAGAATATTTTGGATCAAAAAAAAGCGTATACAAAGATATATCTAAAAACAATGGGGCTATTGTAAGCCCTGATGAGATTTATGACTTTGCTCCATTTTGAGAAACTTTTGAAATAAAATCGTACAGTACAAACAGTGACTTCTTTGTCTTCCAAAGCAGAATAAAATGTCTAGAAATTAACAACAAATCTGATATTCTCACCTCCAACCGCACATTCTACAACAAATTCATCTACAAATCCCTCAGCATGGTCACTTGAACCTTTACTCTCAGCTACACCACTCTCACGCCTCGTGATCTCTGAAGAATTCTCATCTGTGGCCGGCATCTAAGCCTGCTGATCTTCAATTCCTGAAGAATCCCTGATCAACATTACTCGAAAAGATGCCTGAGCTATCACTCTGACCCAAATCCCTACCCCAAAACTTACCTCCGCTTTATCACCTGCCAGACCCTCCCTCACAACACCCCTGAAGAATACTTCAACTTCATCCACACCTTTATGGAGAAAGTGATCAAGTCAGATCTCAAGAAGAAACTTAAAGCATGCGAGTTCGATGGACTCACACTGATAAGGAAATACATGAGGCTAGCCAAGCTGTTAGGGTTTAAGGATATAGGCATGAGGAATGTACCGAGAAATTGACTCATTTTTGATTTTGATTCACAGGAGTAAGGATATAGTTTTCATTGAAAATTCAACTTTTAGAAAGCTTTTAGGGGTTTTGGGGTTTTGGGGTTTTGGGGTTTTGGGG